CCCCCCCCCCCCCCCCCCCCCCTCCTACTTATTCTTTGAGTCGTTATTTCATCAAACTTATTGATTTGCTTGAACCCATGAGATGGTATCCCATCACTTTGTGACTGATAGGCTCTTGCCTTTTTTTTCTAGGAGAGGGAAGATTTTTCGAGCTATTCATAAGCCAAACAGAGATAGGCGCTGGAGATTACACCTTGAAAACGTGGCATCCATGTGGGCGCTTCGTGTTCAGTGAGCATAGGGTGACGGAAATTGAAGAAAATGCCTGTACCCCATAGAACCAGCTGCTTGCCAGTGTATGTCATGGCGGTTTCCGATATTGGCACCTGACCGACACATTGGAGTGGGACCTTCTTTTTCGACTTGTCATCTAGGACAATAAGGGAAAGATAAGCGAGTAGGATGCATGGCGCGGATGGAGGCAACCCAAAACTCATTAACGCTCAAGATTTCTTTCGAAGAAAACCCGTTTTAAAATTGAAGGATTACCACCCACTCCCTCATAGAGTTAGGGGAATTATTGCTTCTGGAATAAATTATAGCTAAGGACAGGTCATCGCGGCATAATGTATTACATGGAGTTGGCAAAACACTAGGCGATTCCTTTCTTTTAGCCTTCGGCAATGCTAAAACTGTCCGAAACGACAACTCGTCCCGCTTTGGCAAATATATCGACGTGCACTTCAATGCTGCCGGTTCCATAGAAGGTACTTGAAAATATACTGTTATGCTACCCAAAGAATAAGGAGCATAGCTCCGAACTCTTGTGTGGCTTCAGATTCTCTCGAGAAAAGTTGTTGGTCATTCAGGAGCTCGAATTGAGAAGTACCTCCTGGAGAAATCACGAATTGTTGCGCAATCGGTTGGCGAGCGAAATTACCACATCTTCTATTGCCTTCTAGCAGGGCTATCAGTCGAAGACAAACGTCAACTTGAGCTCACTCAACCCGCCGATTACTTTTACTTGACCCAGGTACCAGAGAGCCTCAGTTTTTTCTTCCACAATTTTTTGAGACATCAATAAAATTTGAACCACTAGAGCAAGTTAGATCGCCAACTTTTCATTCGCAATATCCGAGAGAACGGGGTTTTTGAACTTCTCTCATAATTGTGCAATTGGTTTCTCAAACGAGCTAACTTCGAAAAAAAATCTCAGAAGCCCAAGCTTCTCTGTTCTTTTTTCATTAATTTTTTTGTCATATTCCTTCTTTCTGAAGTCTTATTATTAATACCGAGGTGCTGCTGAATTATGCATATCCGTCCTAGCTCTTTGCACGAATAGATTTTTCGCAATAGGTGTAAAGCATTTTTCGGGGTCCTCTACATAACCTGCCTGGTCATAGCATCAAAATCGCTTCGTTCGCGGCGCATCCTTGAGAAAGACGAAGGCGTATATCCGCAAATTCTGCGACTCTTTAGGATTTTTTTGCGAGCAGAACATTCAGACATTGTTGCCTAAAATCGAATAGCAGCTGGTTGGTGACAAGTGAAAACTTCTGCATACGACTTATACTACATTCTTACCAATTTTTTGGGCAATCAATGCAAAAAATTAATGAACTCATCGCTATGGAACAGTTGCAATTATGTACGACTGGTTTTTAACTTGCTTTGGGCTGAATTGAATAATGAACTTATTGCTCCTACAAATGAACGCTGCCACAGAAAAATAGTTTATGATCATGGTTTGAGGGAAAGACTCTGGAAGCCGACGGTCGTGATGACGCTGCCGATCTTGCCGAAATCCGCTCGGCTATGAAGGTGTTGCTGTTCAAGGAAGCAGAAATCAGCGCAATCTTCCAACTCCTTGCCACCCTTCTTCACATTGGAAATATTAAATATAGAGGTCAGAGAAAAAGCTTTCAATGGAAATCTTATTCAGTCAGAAGGGCGTTTTTAGGAATCGTCGTCGACACTATCGATGGGGTTGAGGTCAGCGATGCAGCGAACGTCGCACGAATTGCGAGACTGCTACAGGTACCCAGAACAAACATTTTTGAGTACTAACAGAAATACTCGATTAGGGATCTAGTTTTCTGACTCTTTGGGTTATAATGGCGATGGAATGGGCCCCCGCTGGAATGAATGCTAACTATTATTATCTCGGTATTCCAGGTGAAGGAGCAAAACCTTCTGAGCACGTTGACGACAAGGACCATCGTAACGAGGGAGGAGAGAGTGGTGGTTAGATTGTCGTCTCGGGGCGCCGTCGATGCTCGAGATGCTCTAGCTAAGGGCATCTACGGCAGACTCTTCACCTACATCGTCGCGCGCATCAACGACGCCATTTACAAGTAAGAGCAAAACACAAACTTATACCTGAGCAGTTGTAGACGGACCCAGAAATCTCATAATATAGAACAAGCTCATGCTGTAGTAAAATATTCAACCGGAGGGAATCCCCAGTCACTAAGTATGTAGGACTCACTTTGCCTGGTAGGGACCCTCATCCTTTCCTTGAAGCGTTTCAGGCCTCGAAACGACTCAGCGGATCGGAACTCGATCGGAGTCCTAGACATCTTCGGCTTTGAGAACTTCGAGACGAACAGCTTCGAGCAGTTGTGCATCAACTACGCCAACGAAAGCCTTCAACAGTTCTTCGTTCAGCACATCTTCAAAATGGAGCAAGCCGAATACGATCTTGTGAGTTCTGCATTTCTAGTTTTTGCTCTTGTTCTTTATACAGTCACAATTTGTACGATTACGCTTTATGCAGTTACTTTAAGAAGGGATATCTATTTATTACACAATCACTGACGTAGTATCAGGCGCAGGTTTCTTATTCTAGTTTTGGTTCAATTAGGTGTCACATGGGTAATTTTTATTTTCAAGGGTTCGGAATGCTCCTACGGTACGTTTGGCAATGAGCTTCACATATAATCAGAACGATTAAAACCGAAGTGAAGCAGGCCAACCGTCTATACTTTTTATGAATAATGGTTAAAGAGTGAAGGATAAAGTCTTCGCGCGTTAATCAACCACGTTCGACGGATGCGTCCCGCATTCCACCTCTATTCAGAATCGCACTGGCGTATTGAATGCCTTGGTGGCCTATAAAATGGATTGCGGTGACCAGCCTTTGTATACGTCAGTGGTTTTATCCTCCCAGACGAGTCTGGTACCAAGTAACCGACTCCTAAGAGATGGAGTCTTCGTTGCTAGGCAGGTATCCATCCGACATTCAAACCGGCGACCATGCGTATGTGATAGTACGTCACTTGCCACTATAATGAAACAATAGCTAACCACCCAAGACAATGAACATGGCCGACCAGTTCCTGGAAATTGAGAACATTCGTTGAACTTCTGTTGCTTCGAATTTCGCATTGTTCATAGTCACCGCCCTTCTGTGTGGATATCAGGAGCTTTTTGCAGTGTTGTCACGCCATAAGCAGGTCACCTGCAAAGGAGCAGTTCCTAGTAGCCTCTGATTCTACCACACGTCAAATCCCTACTAATTCTATCTGAAAGCGTGAGATTGCATAATCGTTGAGGTCGTTAAACGTCTTCTCCTAATAAAAGGGTAGGGATGTGTACGGTTGATTGGGGCATGTATGCGGGGCAACGGCACATCTGTGCCCAATAATTCTGTAAGTGACCTATCTTCCATAATCCTTCTGCCTTACAGGCGTTCTACTGTACGCGAATATTTCTGGGTTAGGATAGCGATTCATTCAGACCTTGTAGTCAGCACACGCCCGAAGTAATGAGAAAAAAAGTGACGATAGCATAGTTCCCATTAGACGCCACCTCAAAAAACCTACGCATACAAATAGCGGAGGGATTGAGTGACCTGTAGCAGGTCGAGCTATGTTCTCTCACTGGCCCTCAATATTCACAAGCTGACCAAATTGAACAGCCATCTGTGCAATTATTGTAGGCAAGTAACGTGTATATGACTTAGACGATGATCTTCTTATCTGTGATCCCTCTTTTGAGCAGGACAGAAGCTAAATAAGTTTTCCAGTCGACCATCTCCTATATATTTACTGAAGTTCTCTCACAAGTTAATTCACTTTATTTATGAGGATAAACTATTCTAGGAACAAATCAATTGGCGTCAGATCAAATTCGTTGACAATCAGGAAACGTTGGAGATGATAGGAGTGAAACCGATGAACGTTTTCTCGTTGATCGATGAAGAGAGTATTTTTCCCAAGGTAAAGCTCCAGCTCCATTTCAATCATTGTTAGGGGATCTTTACGTAATTCTGAATTATCCATTTCGAAAAATGATCTTATCAGGGTACCGATCATACCATGCTCTCTAAATTGCACGATGCTAACTCTAACAAAAGTTACTACATGCGACCAAAAGCTGATCTGCAACGTTCATTTGGAATAAAACATTTTGCTGGGCCTGTATTCTATCATGTTAGAGGTGAGTTTCAGGCACTGATGACTAGTGTTTCCTCCCACCACGATGCACTTGACTTACAGGCTTCCTTGATAAAAATCGAGATGCCTTTTCGGCAGATTTGCATGCTCTCGTTCAATCATCCAAAATGCACCTTTTGCTGAGGATTTTTGACGAATCTGACTATATCCCGACGACTACCGAGGGCACTATGAGGTAGGAACAAGTCCGATTAGCATTCATTTATCCTAAAGCTTTATTCTAAAAGTTCAATTTAAGGGGCAGGAGCGCCACTGTCAGCAGTCAATTCCGGAAATCCTTGGAGCAACTGATGCAGCAGCTGAA